CCCCAAAACCCCAAAACCCCAAAACCCCTTTTAGTTTGTCAGATATTGAAAATGGAAAAAGCAAAAATACTTCAAAAATCTCTCAACGGCTTCAAGACACTTTTCAGATATACAGTTGACTCACACCAAGGCGTCAGAGTCAGCCAAGACTCTCTTCCTAAAGACAAAGACAGATTTGGATCACAAATGGCTTCCTTTATAGCTGAGTTAAAGAGAAAACAAGCCAGGTCAATTTGGATCAGCATCCCAATCGAGAAGTCTGGGTTCATAGAAACAGCAGCTAGTCTTGGGTTTGAGTTCCACCACACCAAAGGTAGTGTGCTTACGATGAGCCAATGGCTAGAAGAAGACTCTCCCAACAGACTTCCTGGCTACGCTACACACTATGCTGGAGTAGGAGGCCTCGTAGTCAACGACCAGGAAGAAGCCCTGCTGGTTCAAGAAACCCATCCTTACAAAGGAGAAGTGTTCTGGAAACTTCCTGGAGGCCAGGTTGATGCAAACGAAACACTCAAGGAAGCTGTTGTTCGAGAAGTCAAGGAAGAAACTGGAATCAAAGCAAAGGTTGAAGGAGTCATTACATTCCGTGAGAACCCTTGTTATCTCTTTCAAACACACGACCTGTACTTTGTATTCCTGATGTCTTGTATAAAGGCTGACAATACCATTCAGAAGCAAACAGCAGAAATAGCCAAGTGTGAGTGGGTTCCCTTCAAGCATCTGCCAGAGAAAATGTGAGTATTATCTCCAATGGCGCAGAGGATTGCACTGATGATCAATGGTGACTTGCAAGTCGCAAATGACCTCCTCAGAGAATACAAGGATGAGGGTTCGTCTTCTCTATTGGAGCTTGGCATTATGAGTAATCAGCCTTATGAGTTTAAAGAGATTACTCATGATCTTTACATGGGCAAAATGATTAGAGAGTGCATAGAGAAGGCGAAGAGATAAATTACATTCAATTCAATTTTGTACAATTAAAAAGGGGTTTTGGGGTTTTGGGGTTTTGGGG